TTCAAAGACAAGTGAAAGTGTGAGAAGGAGTGATTAAGAGAGAGAGATAAGAAAATGATGTGGTGTTTATGGCTCAGAAGTTGAGCACAATTATAACCTGAGACAAAAGAGGTATTCACAAAAATGGTCATTTCAGTGTACCGCCACACATGAAAGATCAATTTGACCAACTCCATCACTCGGATCTTTAGATGCTATCAAATTGAATTTCATTGCGTTATAATCTGCTGCAGCATCAACAAGCATTCTGCCAAATCAGACTTCAATTTGTTCAGAGAGTTGTCGTGGCTCACACTGACCATGTATTCCTCAACCTTAAAATAGCAAACAAACGAATTGATTTATTTTTACATTACCTTTCTTTGTATCCGATCACAAGGAGAAGAAATTTTTGCTAAAATTGATCTTATTTTACGCATTGCTCATGGGTTCTAAATTGAATACAATGTCCTTTCAAACAATTGAGTTTTCTAAACGAATAGAAAAGAACTCACAACTATCAACGCGTCACGGTAACCCTGTAATCGTGCAAGCAGTCTTGAAGCATGCACAGTCAGGGTACTCTCATAAGTATGCAGGTACTGCACCAGATCCCGCTATTACGGGATTTATTAAAAAAAATAAAAAAAAGTATTGCAGTCATATCATTGTGTCAATTTTGCCATATTTCATTTTGAATTGCCTGCTGTGGTGGTGCTTCTATAGCTCAAAGTGCCGATTAGCCAGTGGCAAGATGGTGCTCAATGAATTCTGCGATAACCGCTTGACAAGGAAGCTAAAAGAAGAGCCCATATTTTACATTACTTTCCATATCTGGAAGGGCCCATGCGTCTTCATCACAGACACCTCAAGGCAAGATCACGCATGTTTTCATGATTCTGTCATGTTTGGCTGTCATTACGAGCTGTAGACATATAGCCAGTGAGATTCGTGATCTACATTAGGCACAGACGTTCCACACCCTTTTGTCATAGGTGTCATTTTCGATTCGGGACGAGAGCAGGAGATAAGTTTATTTCTGAGGGAATATTAAGCGCTATCTAGAGGTAAGTTGCACTCGTTCCTTCATTGACACTACATTATGCTAATAGGAAAGCCACGACAATTCTCCCGCGAATATCTAAACGTGATTCCAATGTGAATTTAAGGGCTGTCGTCAAAGGGCTTCGCAAAGTCTATTGTGAATACGTAGGACGGTACGATTATAATAGTGGCTATATAGGGATCAGTGGTAAGACGTTCTACGAATTGAGTAAGTGAATTCATTAGTGATCATATCCACCAACAACTCACCAGTGTCATATTGACCAATTTATCAATTGGGTGCTTCCACTTTCTACTAGTTTTCAAACGGTTCTCAACTTTGCTGCCATTCGAAGATACAGGCACTTGGCAAGCGAAGTTTGAAGAAAAAACGAAGTATATACCTTCTACACCCACTGTCATAGGTATCATTTAAGATGCGAATTTGAGACGTTGCTAACTAGGAAAAGATTTATCAATGGCGCACAGTGACAATTCCCAGGTGGCATGAGGAAGAGCAGCGAAACCAGTGTGAACTGCTTGATAAGGAATTTGAAGGAAGAGCTCTCCTTTTACATGTCCTCCTATAACAGGAAGGACACCTCAATACTCACACACACACACACACAATCCCTCTCCAGTTATGTTTGTATCCTTGTAGCCCCATCTGGTGGAATGGGCGTTGAAGTCTCCTTATACTATAGTTTTGTGTGAGATGTTCAGAAAGTCAAAGTTTGGATAATTTTGGGGTGGATTATACACTGTATATACCTTAAAGTGGTTTTGAAATTTCCAAACATTTAATCTGATTATTTCACATATGTCTTGTGTCGAGCTCATACTCTTGATTAGATCGTGGTTTGAGGTGAGGCCTTCTTTTACTCCATTCACAATTCCACTTGCAACTATAAGCAGCTTGATATCAACTATAAAATTTTATTGAGAATCTAACAGTAAATGAAGCTGAAGATCGAATAGATGGCACACTTGTGTGCAAACGGGTAGGCGTGGAAGAAATAACTAATTATTTTATTTCATCGCAAGATTCAAATTTGGGAATAACAGTCTATTGGCTAAAAAATGGTAGTTCATATTTTAATTGCACATTTTCCTCAATTATTTGTAAAACCAAAATGTTAATTCGTTTAGTGGAACCTCCTGATATATCCTAGTGCAGAAGTAAGTTTCTATTAATACCGAGTAATGTTATTTCATTAATTTGCAATTTGGATTTTTTTGTCTGAGAATAAAATATTCTAATTAATGTTAGACGCTAATAAATTTAAGTTATATAATCATTAAATATTTTAAGGATCACATTTTCTGCAAATTCTCTACATTTATCATCAAGCGTATTGCAATAACATTAGTATTTGCAAATGTATATCTACTCTGAAATAACGTTAAATCAAGGCTTATAAATTTACATTTCCCACACTGAAAACATTATTTTACGTTTTATTAAATTGCGGTTTAATACGATCTCATATGAAGTAGTATTGTATGAAGGCTTCAAAATTTACATTTTTATCCCAATAGCATAGTAGTCAACAAATGTTGTTACCTAAATGAGCTTTAATTTAAGTGTTCAGTAAATCTAATTCCTTCCTCCAATGATAGCACATTAGAGTATTTTTCTTTTCTTAATTCAATAAAATGGATCGTAAAATATGTTAATATTAAATCATCTTGAATTTACTAAATAAAGTTTCTACGTTTCATAAACTTGACGATTTTAAATGCTTATGTTTGGGGTGTGAGGTGTAGATTCGAATACTGATATTTAAACAAATTTAAAAATATGTATTGAAATTTTGATGAATCGACACTCGCAAAGATTAATCGTTTATTTCATCGAATGATAATAAATGCATCGCCATTTTGTTATTTACTTCAGAAAATGGCAATCCAAAAACAACAAACAATGGTAAGTCGTAATGTAAATATTTAGTCATAATCATATTTCATAACTGAAAATGTGTTTCGAATAATGCTTTACTGACTTTATAATTAAACCCTGAAGCCGTCGAAAACTGAAGCGTTTCATTAATTAAGATTAAAATAATTTAAATGAAGCTGAATCAGATATTTTGTTTTTCAATTATAAGAATTGTTTTTCCTATTTACTGCTTATATGCTTCACTGGTTACGATGCTGTCCTAAACTGTCGAACACATTTGTGCATATTGCATCAGGGATATGCAGCATTTCATCGTTTTATTTAATTTGATATAGGTTATTTGATTGAATCAATGTTATCAAGCAAGTTAATTATTTTTGAATTGAAATTCATATTTTAATGTGTTTTGCTTTCTCAATCAACTTAAAATAATGTTTTCCTATTTAGTTTTCTTTGCTATCACTGTATGTTTGTCATGTGACTAAAGACATCAGGAAAAATAGGATATTTTATTCTATTCCTCATTCACAATAATTTAATCAATACTTGTAAAAATCTTTTTAAAATTTGCGACAATGCCTACAACTGGGTTATAAAAATTAACTTACTAAAATTCAAACGGAATTTTAAACCTCTTTTTATGAGCTACATTAGACGAGATTGGCAGGTATGCGTTCATTAGTAGGAATTGAATTAAATCAGAAAGAGTAGCACATAAAATGTTTCATAATTTTTAAATTCGCAGTCTAACATTCAAGCAGAATATGAAATAGAATTTGTCATTCTTTAAAACTTTCGTTATTTGCACATAGATAGTTTGTTAAAAAATACGATAAAACTACCGTGTTAACAAGTGACTAAAGAATTTGATTCAATTTTATTACAAACTCATTTTTGTGATCTTCGAAATAAATTGTCAACATGCAATGGTCTGCCAAATATAATTCCACTGGTTCCACAATTGTAACCTTCCTTATGTAATAAGTCAAAAGTATGTTTAAGAGCCCCATTTGGGTGAATTCGTCTAATGCATGTTGTCTGCGAATGGAATGAGATATTACACAAACCGCCTAATAAGGTCTAAACAATTTTCAAATTCAATTTATTTTGGATATTGAAGACCTTGTGCAATGATTAGTGAAATATTCTGTACTTTGACAATGGTAACAGTACTGGAATGGTACTGTTCACGTATCAGGTTGTGATGAAAAGTCAATAGACTCTAAAGAATGAAACCTTTTGAGGTCATTTGCACTCAATCAACTTGGCTAACTTTCTTAACCTCTTCATATACAATGCCGAGGAAGTGTCAAAGGCAACAAAACATAAATCTACCTGACAAATAGTGAAACTTGAACCCGTGTGCAATAGATCAAGAGTTTCAACCAGCAGAGACTAAATTGGGGACAGACGAATGTCAGTCATGATGAAGGTCACTTTGCTTAAATCAAGCACTAATTACTTTCAAAAGTTACATCGCCAGGAAATTTAATTACTGATAAGAATTTAAATTTGAGAAATTAAACAAATATTTTTAATAATTGAAATACGAGATGTAAATCCAAAAAGATGGGGGTATTTAAAGTTAGATGATGGTAATATTTGGGTGGACGCAAGGAAAAACCAATTTATTGTTAGACGCCTTAATTCATTCCGTTTTTCAACGCTCACAGTGAAACTAATTAGTAACATCATGTTGCGAATCCAACCAACCGCTTAGGCATTTGTAGGTCAACAATATTTAAGACGTGGGGTGTGCGATAGACTTACCTCTTAGCAATGTGGGGTGTGCGATAGACTTACCTCTACGTGGTGCGCCCTGGGCAACGTATACTCATACGGCAAAAAAGTCTATTACTAGGCATTTGGACTTCTATTTATTATGATTAGCTTTAAAAAAGGCTATAAGAAAGATTGTCCTTGTCATAGCTTTAAAAAAGGCTATAAGAGAAATTGCTCTCGTTAAGGCCAATCACAACGTCTTCAGATCCTCCAGTAGAATGCTGGAGGGAAAAAAGGCTATAAGAAAAATCGCCCTCGTCAGGGCGATTCCAACGTCTTCAGATCCTCCAGTGGAATGCTGAAGGAATGTCATCTTCAGATCCTCCAGTGGAATGCTGGAGGAATGTCTCCGGACCAAAAGATCCAAATACAGAAAATCCTGCAAACCTATGATGTAGCCATTTTCACAATTATGGAAGCTAACATTTCGGATGCCAAAACTGAAGTACTACCAATTCCCAGGTTACACCCTGTACCCGTAGCCATTTTCACAATTATGGAAGCTAACATTTCGGATGCCACACTGAAGTACTACCAATTCCCAGGCATTGTCGGACTGATGTAGCCATTTTCACAATTATGGAAGCTAACATTTCGGATGCCACCCCTTTTCACAATTATGGAAGCAAACATTTCGGATGACAAACAACCAATTCCCAGGTTACACCCTGTACCTTCTACCTAAATAAATTCTCAGGTTACACCCTGTACCTTCTACCTAAATACCGGGGCAAACATTTCGGATGACAAACTGAAGTACTACCAATTCATATCATTCGGACGACAAACTGAAGTACTACCAATTCCCAGGTTACACACTGTACAATCTACCTAAATACCGACAAGTTGCAAGTGGAATTGTAACTAGAGAAAAGGAAAGCCTCACCTCACACTACGATCTATTCAAGA